GTAGTTATACGTCTTGACAAGTAGATTTGTATAAAAGTCAAGGCAGTTATACGTCTTGATACGTAGATTTGTATAAAAGTCAAGGCAGTTATACGTCTTGATACGTAGATTTGTATAAAAGTCAAGGTAGTTATACGTCTTGACCAATAGGTTGATGCTCTGTAACGTCGGTTTTAATTTCAAGTAAAGCGGCATCCGTCCAGAAGTACGATACAACGCCGGACTCATTTAGTCAAATCCAAAAATTTAAAAATATATATTATAACATTGTAAACTTTCTTTTTTTTGAATTATTAATAAATCACAAATTATATGTATTAAATATTGTCTTTGATTTCGGAAAAGAATAAATATTATTGCAACGACCCCTGGACGACGGCTGAGTATACCTCAGCAACATCAACGACAAAAGTGAGTCGTTACAATATGAATCCTATTTCATATAACTACCTTAATATCTTAAATACAATTTTAAATTACAACTTCATCTTTTTGTTTTTTGTAATTATAAAAAAAAAAAAATTAAATTACACTTTAATCTTAAGTATTAATAAAATATATATGTGAATCTTATTTTATATAACTATCTTAATATCTTAAATACAATTTTAAATTACAACTTCATCTTTTTGTTTTTTATAATTATAAAAAAAAAATAAAAATCACATCAATTATTACTCAAAATTGCCGTGCTAGCGTTAACGTTTAACTCATTTGGTCATAGCGATATTGTGAGCAACTGTAGGGCAGATGGGTTTGCCAAGACAGGGGTTCGTCTCCCTGATATTCACTTATCAGATATTGGCGTTCCACTTACAAACTGGCAAATTAATCAAAAATATCTAAACATTGCCAAGCAACAATGGAAAAATTGCACACGCTGCAGTATCTGCGTTGCATAGTTATTAAGGATGTGTAGAATACACTACCGAAAAACAAAGAATGTTTCCAGCATTGCGTCCCTGCTCTCAGTCAGTAATCTCTGGCTCAAGCAACGCCCAAAATGAAAGCTCTACTAAACCATCTCCAAATATCGAAAACATGATCCAACTGTTTATGGAAAATATGACACAATTTATGAACGCCATGCAAAATATGATGAAGGGAATGATTCAAAATCAAAACATCCTACTTTCAATTCTATCCAAACTATGAATGCAATCAAAATTTGCTTCTGGAATGCTAACGGCTTAAGCCAACATAAAAACGAACTTATATTGTATTTACAATCACATAAAATTGACGTCATGCCTACCTCAGAAACTCATTTTAACGAAAAAAGCCACTTTAAGATACCTAGTTACATACTCTACGATACAAAACATCCCAGTGGACGAGCAAGAAGCGGGTCTGCTGACCTCATAAAAAGTAACATTAAACATTTCCCGACTCACAATCTTGACGCAGAATATATGCAGGCAACAAGCATATGTCTAGAAGAATATCTAAAAGGTCTGATTTTAATCTCAATTTATTGCCCACCAAGGTATAAAACAAAGGAACCCCAATTCAAAGAATATTTTACAAAGATAGGACCCAAACTTATAGCGGCCGACGACTTCAATGCCAAACATATATTGTGGGGCGTGGTATCAAAACTCGACATTAACATAACTTCCACTGGCACACCCACCTACTGGTCCTCAGACCGGGAAAAAACTTCAGACGTCATTGATTTTGCGGTTACAAAGAATTTTAAAAAGATCAAATTGATCACACCGACTTTTATTCTGATTAAAAATACAACAATAGTCAATCCAAAATCCGAAGAAAAGCTCACAAACCAGTACACAATTGGCTAAAATTTTAAAAATAAATTAGCTCACATATTAACATCGACATTTCACTAAAATCAAATAATGAAATAGACAAGGCCCTACAGTACTTTACAGCTCTACTACAGCAAGCCGGTCGAATATCAACCCCAGTCCCAACACCCCACAAACCTATAAACTACCACACATCGAACGAAATTGCAACCCTTATACAGAAGAAACGACAAGTACGACGCCAATGGCAACAACAAAGGTACCCCGAATTAAAAGACAGCTTAAGAATCTAACGAAAGCACTCCAGAGATTACTTAAAGAAAAAAATGGCATGGAATACGAAAATTTTATTTCACACTTGTCTCCAACGCAAACCACAAACTAATCTCTTTTGAAAGCCACCAAACACAAGAAAAAGCCCGATATGCAAAGAACACCCCTTCGATTCCCAAATGGAAACTAGACTAAAAGCGATGCAGAAAAGGGTACTGCTTTTGCAGACCAGCTTAAATATGTATTTACCCCAAACTGTATGTTATAAAAACTATACCTTCTGCTTTCTCTCACACAAAACGACAATATGACAATTTGCCTCAATAAAAAACCACTGAAAAACGAAATCAAAAATTTAAATATCAAAAAAGCCCCAGGCTACGACCTAATGACAGCAAAAATGTTGAAAGAGATCCCACAAATCAACAAAGACCAGCTACTTTTCATTTATAACGCTATTCTAAGGACTGCATATTTTCCAAACGACTGGAAGCTATCCAAAATTCACCAAGCCAGGAAAGGACTCCGCTCAAGTCACCTCATATCGATCCATAAGTCTACTCCCAATTATCTCAAAATTATTCAAAAAAATTTTTATAAAACAGCTGATGCCCTACATTTAAATAAAAAAAGAATAATACCTAACCACCAATTTGGATTTAGAGAAAAGCACAACACAATAGAACAAGTACACCGCATAGTAAGAATAATTAAGGAAACGTTTGAGAAGAAGCAGTATTGTTCAGGCGACTTTCTAGACATAACCCAAGCTTTTAACAAAGTTTGATACGAAGGATTGTTTTGGAAACTTGAGAAACATTTATCATACAATATATCCTCAGTTATCAAAAACTACCTCTCAAATAGAGGATTTGTTGTAAAACAAAACTCGTTTGTCTCCGATGCCTTCTCCATTATGGCCGATGTACCCCAAGGTAGTGTACTGGGCCCCTTGTTGTACCTGATTTTCACAGCAGACATGCCAACCAGTGACTGTACAACAACATCAACATTTGCGGACGACACTACCATTTTCAGCCATAGTGACGACCAGCCATATTATTTTACGCGCAACGTGAGGGTTTTACATTTGTGTGTCATTTCCGTTTTTTCTGTCTCCCCTGCTTCGTATCAACTGTCATTCACCTTTCATGCTGCCTCGCAGGGCTGCATTCAGCTCAATATTACTCAGAGTTTCTTTTTTACTATGACATTCCGCCCTCCCGTGAATCTTCGCAAGATTCACTAATCTGACAAGCGGCTAGCTTGGTGACTGGACGAGTTAGGATACCATTCTTGGTCTGTACGCGGGCTGATCTAACCTGACCGGTCTTAGAAGGAAACACTTCAACAATTTGACCCTTGAGCCATTGACCTCTTGGTAGCAGATTGTCACAAACGATCACAAAACCCCCAACCCTGAGCGGCACCACCTCCTTACACCATTTAGGGCGTCGAAAAAGTTGAGGCAAGAGCTCAGTAGTCCACTGTTTCCACAAACGGCTGTTTATATCTTGGAGAATATGCCACTGTTTACCGAGGCTGATAGGTATGGCATCATTATAGCGTGTCTGTGTACTATTGACACAGCCTAATAAGAAATGATTTGGTGTGAGTGACTCCTGCTCGCTGTGCGTCAAAGGAATGTCTGTAAGCGGTCGGCTGTTAATAATGTTTTCAGCTTTAATTAGTGCTGCCCTTAACCCCTCCACCTTCGGTGCTTCTTCTCTGATTGACTTGAATAATAGACGTTTAATCATTCTTATAAGGCGCTCCCAGCAACCACCTGCATTGGGATTCTGTGGACAATTGAATATCCATTCAATTCCAAGTTGAGTGGCTTCCTCACGTATATCATTAACATCAAGAAACTTTTTATCAGCACATAATTCCCTTTGTGCCCCAATAAAGTTGGTGCCATTGTCATTACGCATTCTGACTGGCGTACCACGACGGTTAATAAAACTGCGGAAACATACTAGGAACGCATCAGTTGATAAGCTATCGACGATGTCTATATGCACAGCATGTACTGTTAAGCATGTGAATGTGACAGCCCAGCGCTTCTCACGGCGACGACCAATAGTAACATGTAATGATCCAAACAGGTCAACACCTCTGTATGAGAACGGTCGTACATACGGCATTATACGGTCGATTGGGAGCTGACCCATTAACGGTGGCGCTGGCTTGGCGGCTTCAAGGTGGCATTCCATACAATTGCGTTGGACTGATTTCAAAAGTGGCTTGGCACCAATTATCCAGAACTTTTGGCGTACAGCGTTGATAATGGTAGCTTGATTTTGATGTTTGTAGGCAACATGATAGTGTTTCATTATTAGTTCGGAGACGACATGGCGTTTCGGCAATATAATAGGGCGTCGAGCTTCAAGAGGCAGATATATGGCTTCATCCAGGCGACCACTGGCAGGAATAATTTCTTCGTTGTCTACGTATGGCGTTAATTTGTATAGTTTGCATTTTTTGTTAAGAGGTTGTTGAAGCTTAAGTAAACTCTTTTCCTCCGAAAAACAATCCTCCTGTACCAGTTGCATTATAAATTTTTCGGCTTCATTGATTTCACTTGGTAATAACGGTGGCAACGACTGCCAATTATTACACTCTTCTATAAATAGTGGATCTCGTTTTCTACAGAATATTTGAACAGCTCTTAGGAACCAGGCAACAGAACGTTTAAGTCTAAAAAAATAACTGAAACGGTTAAATTCTATCAATGTTTCACTGGCCTGATATTGTAGTAATATCGGTGTCGTAATCTCTTCTTCTGGCGTGTCAGTATAAAACGAAAATGTAGCATTTGGCCAGCTATTTTGTTCTTGACGTAAAAAGGTTGGCCCTTTTAACCAAATGTTGCCATTGTTTATTTTAGGCACCTCTTTGGCTCTTGTTGCAGCGTCAGAAGGGTTCATTTTAGTTGGCACCCATCTCCATTGGTCTTCTTTCGTTGAGGTCAATATTCCAGCTATACGATGCCCAACAAATGGTTTGAATCGGCGATTTCTTGAATTTACCCAACAAAGAACGGTTTTGGAATCAGTCCAAAATACTATACGGCTTATGTTTATGTCATGTCTGTCCACCACCAGCTTTGATAATCGAGTAGCCAAGACTGCAGCCTGCAGTTCCAACCTTGGCATGGATAGGAGTTTCTTAGGCGCTGTGCGAGTCTTACCACAGACAAAAACTACATCGACTGCAAATGCAACTTGACTAGCATCCATAAATACATATGTTGATTTAGACCTCTTTGGCAATGTTGAGATGCGGCGAGTAGCATCTTGGTACAAAGAAATTGCCTATTCTGGCAAATTCGTCCCACCACCGAAACCATGTTTGAGATAACGTAGGTGGTAACAAGTCGTCCCAATTTAATTTGGTTTTCCAGGTTTCTTGCAATAACACTTTGGCAATAAGTAAAAAATTCGCTAAGACGCCGTATGGATCAAATATAGCCATCACAATTCCTAAAAGTTCTCGCTTTGTTGGAACCCTTTTACCCTCGATAACTTCTTTAGCTATGCGATGAAATTTTGTTAAGAATTGAAACGAATCATTTGTTACGTTCCAATACATTCCCAAGATTTTCTCAGTTTGGATCTGCCGATTCAAACAGATGGCCTCTGCACTTTCACCTGCATTCATGACAATCTGTAGATTTAACGAATTTGATGAAAAATTACGAAGTTCAAAGCCGGCGTTTGCATTAATTTGCACCACTTGCTGACAAATTAGTAGAGCGTGCTCTTCTGAAACTGGCAACGTAATCGTCTACGTAAAAGTTCTCATTGATGGCAGATACAGGTTCCGGATATTGGCTGCGATAACTTTCGGCATTACGGTTCTTAAAAAATTCAGCGCAACAGGGCGAACATACTGCTCCGAAGATCATAGACGTCATGACATATTGTTCGATCGGTGACATTTCGCAACCGCTTCTCCATAAGAATCATTAGGCATTCTGGTCGGCTGGTCGTATTTTAACCTGAGAAAACATCTCTTTTATGTCTGCAGCAACAGCAATACGACCCTGACGTAGTTTAAAAAGTATTCCTATTAATGGTTTAGCCTTTTCTGGTCCCTTCAACAATGCTGAGTTGAGAGATTGTTTATCAGCAGTGGCGGCGACATCGAAAACAATTCTCAGTTTGTCGGGCTTATGCGGGTTCTGTACAAAAAAATGCGGCAAATACCACAACGGCTTTGTGATATCTTCAAGCTTCAACGAAGCTGCTTCACCTTTACCCAACGTTGCTGAACATTTTTACTCAAAAACGCTTCACATGTAACTATCAGATGAGGGCCTGCGCATTCAAAACACTTAACTTCTAGGTGATTTTCTTGTTCCATCTTATGGTTTTGTGCATACATAACTCGGCGCGTATAATTTTGATTAGCTGGCATTGTAATTTTAGGCATTTCGCACAAGAGAGTATAAGGCATTGTAATTTTAGGCATTTCGCACAAGAGAGGATAAGGCAATTAAACTATCAACGTTCCTTTCCGTCACTCTCTCGAACTGTTGAATCTTGTCCAACTGGGACCGTATTAGTAAATCTGGGTGGCCAAAAGGAAATGCAAGTTCTTCCATAACTGCAGGCACATTAGAGGGGTATATTAACAGTGACTGAAGGACATCCTTGGCTTCATCCATTAGGCATTTCTGTAGGCGCATTAAATTATGTCTGTTGGTATACTTAAACGTTTTGGTGGTGTCCTCAAAAGTAGCACGAAAAAGTGACCACTGTTCGGCGTTACCGTTGAATTTTGGCAAATCATAAAGTCGGATGCCTTCGCCTCCTGAACATACGACTTCAGCAGTGCACCGTTCGTCTTCACCTTGATCTATCTTACTTATTTCATCTTTCTTTTCTTGCGTTACCGACTTATCGTTGGCAAGTTGTCCACGCAAATTACTTATGTCTTCCCGATTCGAAACTGTTTCAGCTCGAACTGCATTCACTGTTTGTTGTAGAGCTTGTATGGCTTTTAACACATCTTGCATTGATGTCTGATCTTGACATCTTGACGACACTGGAGTCTCACATGACGATTTATTATTTCTGCGACCCATCATTAATTTACTCACTTTGCCTTTTTCCGCAAATGTAATCGGTTATGTAAATACCGAAAAATATTTTATTGACAAATAATTTTATTATATTCGTTACAATCACTTCGTTATTCATTTATTTTATATTATATTACGCGCAACGTGAGGGTTTTACATTTGTGTGTCATTTCCGTTTTTTCTGTCTCCCCTGCTTCGTATCAACTGTCATTCACCTTTCATGCTGCCTCGTAGGGCTGCATTCAGCTCAATATTACTCAGAGTTGCTTTTTTACTGTTACAGGCTGATAAACAAAACTTCTAAACTTAATCTCACCCATAAAGTGCAACTTTACAATACAATGATAAAACCCATATGGACCTAAGGAATTGAACTCTGGAGCTCTGCTTCTCCATCAAACATTGAAAAACTCGAAAGAACTCAATCAAAAATCCTTCAGTAATGTAGGTATATTTTATATACCTCCTGGTATATAAAAAACGCGAATATTCATAGAGATCTTCGAATTAACACAGTCACAGATGAAATTGACAGCAACACATAAAAGTACAAAATCAAACTCAGGAACTACCAAAACCCACTTGCAAACAAACTTATCCAAAACACTGGAACCTAGCGACTCAAAAGAAATTATACAAACCCGACTATTCAAGAATAATGCCCGACATGAAAATGAAATTTGACGAAGCTGTGTTACACTGTATGAAATAAGAATTGAATGAAAAAGTTCTGTGGGACATTTTCGAATTTTCGGATGTGAGTGGCTATTAAGAGTAGAGTCCACTTCGAGGAAAATTCACTCTTAAGGAAGCTATCCTAAGACTTACTTTTCGGGCAAACAAGCTGGTCGTGAGTGGAATAAAAAGTAACGAAAATTCTACTCAAAATTCGGCTTAAACGTTGTGATTGAGACAATTGCGTTTACATAAAGAAGCAAGGGGAATACGTGAAGATAGTTGGGCTCTACGTAGACGATATGTTATTGGCGTGTTCAGAAAGAAAGGTATGCAAGATACTATAACTGGGTTGAATAAATATGTTTTCTATTTAGATATGCAATTTAAAAAAAATGATGCTACAGATGCAATTCTCATACATCAAAACAAGTAAGTCGAGGAATTGCAGAAGAAATGGAACATGACTGACTGTACAGCTGCATCAACTCCGTTAGCCAACGGAACTGGTTTAGAGAAACACTCTGGCGATATAATGAGGCAATTGGAGAAACTACCAAATTAATAGAAGAACTAAAGTATCTGGCAAATATATCGAGGCCGGACATTATAACAAAGCTGTCGTAGTTTAATTGTTAGTCGCATAGAAACCATTTTGTGGCTTTTTCTGCTCGTACCATTTATATCGTGGGTAAATGTTTCCCGGACTATATTAAATTCGTTCCTAGTATCAATAAATGCCAAAGGCGAGGCGTCGAATGGTTCAGAGTGTTCACTGAACACCTTAACAAAGCTTCCTTTTTAGATTTTTTTTTATTAGGTAAATAATCTCGCTATATTGCTACTTAACATTTTTTATAATAGCTTTTCCAAACAGATTAACATAAACACAAAACGTAGAATACAAACAAAATCACACATGTGTTAGTTACACCCAACATTACTTACAATTAATAAAAGAGAAAACACATTCCTCTTAAAATATACTAAAGTTCAAAATTAAAACTGCACCGCGTTGCTTACAAAGCATGCAAATGAAATAACATTCACATTGGGACTATGTTCAGTATTGAATAAACACAAAACATACAAACAAATATAAAAATAAAAGAGAAAACAAGCCCCGCAAAATATGTACGTAAAATAATCATATGTTAACTCTTAAATTAATGTGTGCAAGCAGTTCAATAAAAAAAGTAAACCTCCAATGTTATGCAAAGTAAATACAAAAGAGAAAAGAAATGACTGACCGAAAATCGCTTTACATTTGACGAGAGGATCATTCCACTAAACTGAACCAAAAGTTTATACAAAGCGTGCAAATACAATCAAAGTCACGGTTACTGTTTTATATGGGGAAATGGTTCAGTATAAAAACTGAACCGGGTATTGTAAATACAAAGTAAAAGAGTAAATTAATGCATGAGAGTTTCTTACTCTTATATAGAGGTTGGAAATAAATCAATAACAAAGTCATTATTGCAATTTAATACTAGCAAATGGTAAAAGTAAAGAAAAAAATTAAAGAAATTTGAAGTGAAAAATAATATTTAGAAATGAATTAATGTGTGATTAAAGATTTGATTCAAATATCTTTTTTTTAACGATCTTCTGAAAAAAAGATTTTAATTCATAAAATGAATAAACCAACTCCAGATATGAAGAATTTGATACCTGTTGTAAAAATGTCGAAATCTATGGTAAGTCGTCGTTTTCCTACAGCTATAGCTTTATGGTAAATAAAAACCAGTGGATCACAGGCTGCGAACATTTAAATAAATTGTTTTATTGGTCTTGTACGCTATTTGCTTGTGGAAAGGACAAAACTTAGAAGTAGGGGGAATACGTTATAGTTGGAATTCTGTTTTGATTAAATTGTGAACACCTTGCCAAAAAGCTGACGCCTCGCTACTGATAAATGCAATGGCTTCCTTACCACCAATCATTATTTGCTTAAGATTTTAATATCGAAAGCTGATGATTTTCCGCAATTTTGCCACTCATTTTTAGGGTGCACCTTATTGCAGTCTACACAACATAGACGTTTTAGTGGTTTTGTACAATCTGTCGACACATGGCCTGACTCACCACAATTGTAGCACATAATAGTCTTTGCATTATTGAACAATTTTAGATTTTGTCCACTTTCATTCGCACCGCGAAAACAATTATCGTTTATATTCGTTTTATAACAAGATTTTGTAGAAAGCTCTAACAAGCATTTCTCTACCCGTTTTATTGGAGCAATCGTCATTTGTAGTTCTCGATGTTTTAATCTCTCTCGAACGTATTTTGTGATAGCAATTTCACTAAGAAATAAATTTCTTTTTATCTTCGAGTATTTCCGCTTCATAATACTAGCAACCGAACTCGGTGACAAGCTCATTTGAATATTCCTTCCAGGTGACATGCATTCTTGGTGATACGTCCAGCCACATACGCGCTACACTCTTTAAACGGCTATACACTGCATGAAGCACAATTTTTCTGGCTACGCATATACAGACATAACAGCTTTAACACAATAAATTACGAAGCCCTAATAGAATCTTCATTCGTTTGGTCGAGTTCGGGCAAGACTTCCACGTTTTCTCGTATAGATGCACGTTACGGTCTATATTAGGCATATCTGAAATACTGTCTCGAAGTCTTTCCGGTGCATTTCGAACAAAATTACAACAGCTTATTGGTGCCACTGGCGTTTGCATATATTCCTGCTGACCGTTTTGATTGTCTTTAACGTTTTTTTGGCTAATGGCTACTTGTTGAACCATTTCCCACAGTTCGCTAATTTGTTTTCGCAGTTCTACGTTTTTACCTCGCAATTCCTCATTAGAACGTTGTAGCGCCTCATTATCGGTTGTAAACTGCAACACCATGTCGCTTGTTTTTGCTGCAGGTAGCTGGCAGCTCTTGTTGTTGTAATAAATCCTTCAACTGCTGCTACGTAAGTAATTGTGTATGATTGTGATCGTTTTTACTTTCTTGCATCAAATACTCACACTTTCCGTTTAATCACTCCGCTTTGAGGGCATATATTCAATCCCACTTCTGAACTCTTAATTTAATTTTAATTTTTATGTTTTAATTTAATTTTTATTTACACAGTTTTTTAATTAAAAATATGTTACAATAGGGAACCACGCAACGCAACTGACGCCCACCATTGTTTTTCCGCCAATACATGTTGGTTTAATTTTAAAGGTGACCAGTTGTGAGTTTTTGTTGTTGGTTTACATTACAAAGCCACTTGGTTTAACATGAATATCGCCAGATGGCGCTGTTGTCTTCAATACATACTATAGACGTCAAAATCTGCGACTATATGCAATCAGTTGTCGCTCGAGAGCACTATCGCTGCGTCGTATGTACTGCTGTATTTTTTGTAAAACTTGTGTAAAGTTTAATTTATTTTACATTTAATAATATAAAATACGATAATTAAATTTAAAAAGATAATTTTAGAACCAGTGGCTATTTGTCTGTACTAAAGGGTCGTTTAATTCGTCCAGTTTGACCATTAGCTGTAGGAGTGCAAAATGTATTAATAATATATTCATGACAATAGTTTTTAGGCTCCTTTAGAGTAAATGCCGTGCCTCGCTCATTATAATTCAACTTGGTATTCCTAAATAACTGCTGACTTTATTAAAAATATCTCAAACATACATAGTCAATGTGTATCATTTTAAATGGTATTGGCCTATACCGTTATGATATTCACCTTCTTGTTTACATCTTTGATGTTTGTACTATGGTACATTCTATAAAAGTGTTGATAAACTCTTTCACAAATTCACGCATACGTCGAAACCATACATATGACCTTAATCATTCAAGTGTCTTGTCTATGCTCATATATCCCGCTCGATCATGGTAATCTTTTACAACTCTGTAACATAGCGCATGTAAAACTACTCAAAGGAACTTTTACTATACGAAAGTGTGCTGCACTACATATTAATTGGTTTCCTTATTTCCGCGAGTATATATACCGTTGACTATTTCGCGGATGGTGGCATCTTGAATCTTCATACTTAACAACTATTTTTATTCATTTTATGTTGTTTTTGATACTCTTAACTCTGCAATATTTACGTTGGCAGCTTCTTCATTTGGTACATGGCTTAGACAGTCTACGTATTGCATTTTTCTAACCAGGCGATCGCCAATCTCAATGATATAGTCTTGAATGTGCAACCATCATCGCGCTATACGTAGTATTAATTCCTTCTTTGCATTGTTGTACGTATTGAGTTACAATCCGTTTCTACTTTTACTTTCTTAAATATGATACTCCAATCTATCCAAAGTCTAAACTTCTGAGAAGGTTTCTAACTTGTATCTACGAAATTTCTTTTTATCAGGTCTAGTTACTCTATTGGTTTGCAACCTTGAATCTCGTGCTGCGTCAACACCCTGGCTAAGCTCAATGCACTAGCATCAGTACGCAATTAGTGATCCGCATTAACACAATGTTACTAGGTGAGATGTTAATTCAACCTTTAATCTTTGAAACGCATTTTCTCTAGATCTGTCAACAGGAAATTTTCATTCTTTCACAACAGTCGTCGTAACGGTTCTGTGATGAAGACATAACACGGATTGAAATTTCTAAAGTAGCCACTAATTTCTGAAAACCTTCGAACTTCACAAACATTCTTAATGATGGAAATGTTGAAATAATTTCAGTTTTAATCTTTTCCCGACGTATACCATCTGGCATTAATTCATGACCCAGAAACGTTATGGTTTGTTTTAAAAACTCACTTTTATTTACGTTTAACGTAAGCCCCATATCTTGTAGTACGAAAAAGACACGTTTCAATTTATCAAGCATCTTTTCTACTAAATTGAAGCTTGTAAATATTATAATTATGACTTTTTAAGGCAGAAACAAAACCACTACGTCATTTATAAAGTAGAGCTAAAAGGCCTTTCCCAATATAAAAGTTGTCAATAAGTGTGCCAATAATTTTGCTCCGTACTTTTTTTGATTTTTTTATTTTAAGAAATTAAATATAAAAGGTAATATAATGAATTAAAATGAATTTAGTTGCAAATTGTATGCATTTTATATACAATAATTTTTGTTAATTAAAAATCGCTGTATTAACGGGGTAAGAACAGTGATAATGTTCAACATGCTTGCTGTACCAATAATTAAGTTCGTCACTGCGTGTATACGAGTATTTCAACCAATGCCCATAACTTCATGTACTCAACCACTAGCCGCAAAAGATTTAATTTTCTTTTACTGTTACATACACACAGTAGAAAAAGTCTGCGTCCACCCACAAAATTTTTCTTACATTTCACATAACTTATTTAATTTTTACTGAAATTGATTCTGGTTTTCGAATTTATTTTAAACAAAAAAATTTAAACATAACTATATGCAAACGCAACAATTTTCGAAGCGGAAAAAGTCTGCGGTCACTTCTTAATATTTAAATTAAAACAATTAATATTCATAGAAATTTACATTTTAATAGCCTGTGGGATAACCTCTGCGTTTAGTAACCTCTTTTAGATGTCTTTGCATAGACTCAATCAGTGTCCTGTGCGTTTATTTTTAGCCATTCTTCCTTGATGACTTTTCTTGACATATCCTTGCTGGAAATCGTGTGCTGGTGAATCTTATTTTCCAAATAAGCTCATAAATGTTTGAGATGGTAGTATTTGAAGTTGCCTGGGAACATCGAAAAGCAGCCAATCCCGTACGATCGTTGTTGTATGCTTAGAGTCGCTGTCCTGCTGAAACAAAAAGGTTGTCTCAAGCCCTAACATTCTACCATTTTATTTGAAACTTGTTTTTAGTATACTTAGTTTCCCATATTTATCCATTCTTCTTGTATAAAATCAAGTTTACCAGCACCATTACTTGCTATACACCCCCAAACCATTATGGCTCCACCACCATGTTTCACCATTGAAACTAAGTTTTGTTTATCATAGGCTGTACATAATTAGTTTGAAGGCTGTTACTCTTGGATTTACTTTCACCTGGTTGATCATGCAACGTCTTTCCCTAACAGAATTGAGAGGCGACCAGTACGAGGTTTAGAAAAGTAAATACTCGTCTCCTTGAAGTTATTTATAACTCCAATATTTATAAAACCAATATCTTTAGCAATTTTTTGTTGGCTTACGTCATTGTTCCAAAATTTGATAATTTGAGTTATCAAAAAAAATCGTAAGACCAGGATCCATCCGTAATAATTAACGACAACAGGGCCTTAAAAAAACCTTTATATCATATATCATATAATAAATCATATTCTTATATTTACCCCATTAAATATGCTATAACTAATTGATTTTTAATTCTTTTATTGGTAAATCTAAATTTTCTTTCACTTTTTGTAGATTCTTGTATTGATACCTTACTTGCTTGCCAACATTTCCTACATAAAGAAATTCTGATACACAGAAAACACATATAACAGAGAATATATTAATGCCATCAAACGCGGTTAAAAATGTACTTAATTTACTATTTTTTAGCTTATTTTTTATTATAATCGTAATTTGTAAACAGTTTCCCAACGATACTTTAATATTTAAAAAGACTTTACTAGTGCAAGATCTGTATGATCTTAACGTCTAAAACTTTGAACGCACCTTTTGTATTAGTTACAGGGACCTACTTGTTGCACCCAATGAATAATCTGTAAAAGTTGCAATGTTTGAAAAACTAAAAATAACGTTTTAAAAGTAAAAAATAATTTTTACTGCATAGTTCGTGTAATTATACATATATATCACAAGAAAAACTCTAATATATAAAACATTTAAATTTTGATTAAAACAAGCATTCAAAATATATTCCATCATATTGAGTGTATACCTACTCCCAGCTTGGCTATATTATTAAATTTGTACATATATTAATTTAGCAAAAGAAATACCATTGTAGTTCTTACTCCAAAGGTTTACTTTCAATAGAATCTCGAAAATACTAATGATGATGACTGAATGTTATAATTAATGGAAGAAGTGTACCAAAAATCATTAAAACTAATTCACCGTACCGAATGCCATACGAAGACTGACGTTTTTCCAGATAATCAACTTCTGTTTTTGTTGTTTGTTGTTCTAATACACGATATTCATATTGGCTATGTTGATGTTGATGCATATTTTGATGCGTTAATTCAGGAAGAACATGAACAGTTGCAACATATAAAAATGTTCCACCAGAAAATAACATTGCTATACCAGTAGCATTAACTGAATTAAGTGTTTCTTTTTGTTCTTGCCCAATACCAAAATAAGTAAGAAGGGTAAACAATGGCGCTGATACAGAAAAAATTAATAGATGTCTTCGTATCCGCTGACGCTCCACTTTTTCGTGTAACAAAAATGTTACAAGTCCAAACGCTGCAGGTGCCTTATGCAACATTATAGCTATAAAAACTATGATTTCTACATCCTTCTGACTTGTAGTAGCAGCTGCACCCAGTGCAACACCATCGGCTGTAAATATAAAATACATTATCCAATTACCAAGTCTCTAAGAAACAAGTTCCAAAATAGAAAGCCTTTGTCAAATTTTTTCACCTGCTGCATGAACAACCAAGCCTAAGGTGGCAGTTATATTTTGTTCATTGGAACTGCTTTTTCGTTGAGATATTTGATCCACTAACATCATAAAAACAAATCCCAACACTAAGGATAAACCAATAGTTTTTGTATGATCCGTTAACAGCGTGTGTTTAACAAGGGATGGCGTCGTCGTAGGTGATTCATCGTCTGAATTAATATACAACGATCGAATACCTTCTGGTATAATGACCGTTAACGCTGTTCCGACAAGCAATCCAGCACCAAGAGCAGTCACAAATTTGAGTTTTTCCTGAAATAAGCCATAAACAATGCATACAAATACATATAAATTAACTTGGCTACACACCTCGCTCAATTTCATGATTAAAGGAATACTTCCAGCCAAATACGACCCTACTAACATTACAACTACTAGCAATATAAGAACTAACGTTTCCTCTACCATGTTTGTTCGATTTGTTTATTGATGAAATCAAGTGACTTATATTTGCCACGTCTTCTTTTAAGATTCAGAGTAAAATTTTCAGTGAGTTTTACTATCATAAACATAACTATTTATATTACAAGTATTTATGCAGTTGTCATACGGATGGCAATTCAAAGCAAAATATTAAATTTTAATCAATTAAACAAAAATTTTACAATTTAGCCTCGAATCAAACATAAACCTACCGCAGCACTATAAAAAACACCAATTTTAATGCAGGCCTTACACCGTCATCCTAAACTCCTAAACTAGAGACTATACGCTCAAGTAGTTCGAAAAAAGTTGTGATACACTCACACTTGTTTATCAATGCATTTATACAGTTTTGAAAGAGTTTAAATGAGGAAAGTAATTTGGGTTTCCTTTTAATATATATTGCAAAAACACAATATACACAAGAAATTTAATTTTTAAAAAGATTTCACAAACTCAACATTGTTGAGAATCGAAAAATTATTTGTTTGTGTTTATATATAAAATTTATTATTAGGTATTTATTTACATATATTGAAATATGACAACATTCATTAGATTATTATACTAATAATAATTGCATATATGAATGTATAAATAAAACATAATTTTATTTTTTAAAAACTTTACTGTGCTATTAATATTTAATTTATTGATGTACGAAAACACAACTCAAACTTTTTATTTTATTTTTTGGTGAAAATTATTTATTTTTTTCAGAATAATTTTTTTGTCAGATTTTTTAAAAATCGCTAATATATATTTGGTAACAAATTTAAATACTATGCCCATAGTTAATCAAGTACTATGTCTGCGATAGTAGGAGATAATGGAATTCCCATAGGCATACCAAACACTTAATGATCATCAAAAATGAATGAGATAATTATTGTCTTTTAGACAAAAGTGAAGTATTTTCGAAAATTTAATCTTGGAGATGTTGGTTGAATTTTTAATATTATTCCATTTTTCTAAAATGACAGTTTCGTTATATTGCAAATAATTCACTTGAATTTTTTATATTATAATCTCACGATATTAGTGGTTTAACAATTTCTTTTCCAACATATTTTGACACTTTGTAACAAGTAACCATTGTGGAATCCGCTATTAGTCTGAGAGGTACATTAAAGTTATGAATTTTGGATAATCAATATAATCTAGGAGGTTTAGTTGTACTACATAGCAGTTGTTTTTTCTGTTGTATTGTTATTAGTTTCTGTTTGTAAAGATCTGTTACTATATTGTTATTAGTAGTTATCAATTAGTTGGATCTATGCGTAATGTTTTATATGTGATTTTGTCATATAGTAATGATGTCATTTTATTCATATACTCCTGTTTGTACATCACAACGGTTTTTTGACCTTTATCCGATTCCATGATAAGAATATACTTTTTGTGTTTATTTAATATTTTTTGAGTGTCATCATATGTGTTGTTATGTAAAGTACTCTTTATACAATACATATTAATTGCCTGGTAACTCTGGCCTTAAGTCAGAGAACTGTCATTTTTTCTGTATTCCTTTTTATTCATTATTATATTAAATAAAGTGAAGCAAAAAACTTGTCGAAATCATCGGATCGTGTGTATAATGTTTTGCTCAAATATATAATAATATGTTTTAAGAATAAATTTTTCTCTATTGTTATTTTTTGTTGAAGATTGAAGCTAATAAAATTGTAAGCTGTTTTAGTTCTAGTAATTTCCTTTAACTATTAATATTTTGAATACCTTTTTCTTTGTCCGCTATGAAATGTGGTTTCGAGACCCCAACGAAACGTCTGATGAAAAAAATGAAATAAATTAATATTTATTTGCATTCCTGTCAAAGGAAAGTAGCCTGAACAACAATTATTATAAGTAAATAAATTATTACTAACTATTATATAAACAAAAATTATATTAAATTTATATTTTAAATTGACTGTTTAAACTTGGGTTTGAATAAACACTTTATTCAACAGCATTTATTTAATACGATTGACAAACTTCTACTGCTCAAATGCAATAGAGGAATTTATTTACTGCTGATAGAAAAACTTTTATCGGTTTGCAGTTCATAATTCCAAAATTCGTTTTTACCTATCAGCAATAGAAATTTGTCTACTGTCTATCAGTAATAGACAACTCATAATAGGCACTATTGGATTTTCATACATTAATTATTGATGCTGTTGTGGTTGTTGCAGTAATTGTTTTTGTTGCTGTATTTGTTGTAGCTGTTCGCGTAGTAGTTTTTGCATTAGCTGCTGTTCTTACTACTGTTCCTGTTGTTATACATTCCACAGAATAATATCCTCTTATTTTGTAATGACTTCATTCAACTCATCTATTTATTGGTGGAATTTTATTTTTAGGTCGCTTTTATTATTATCAGAAATGGAATTTCATTTAACGTATAATTGATTTCATAGCACTTCAGACTAGTCCCATAAAATATATAAATCCTAATCAAAATTTTCATTTATTCGCTGAAATAGTTTATTTCAATTTAAAATATTTTGTTCTCTAATTTCTAAAACAAATATTCTTCATAACGTAATTTTTGTTAACGAAAACTTTAATTGAATGTATGTAGGAGAAATAGTAGTAGTAGTAGTTTTAAGTTTGGGAATACGCAAAAAAGAAACAAACAAAGAAGAAGGCTTTTGAGCGGCAGTCAGCAAGTAACGACGACGGTGTAAAGACGAAGAAAACGCAACGCAAATAATGGCACAGTTAAAAGAAATTATGTTAATTTATATATCGAAAATTAATTATGTTAACTTATATGTAAATACTTTCTGCTAACTTACATACTATTGAACCGTATCATTGTGCAAATTTCTATATTGTTAAACCGTGCCAATAAATGAAACTACACTATGAAACAACTTGTAAAAGAAAACGTACAAGTTTATTTCCAATTTCAGCTATAGTTTATTTACTCAAATTAACTTAAATAAAATATAAATAATTTGTACTAAAGTTTTTTTGTTTTGCGAAAAAAATTTGTTTCCTTGAGTTCTTTTAAAAATTCTTCTTTTCTCGTGTGATTGTGAAAATTATTTTCCTTATAAAATAAAAAAAATAATAAATTTATTTATTTGAACTGACTGATTCGTTTTTAAGTTGTTAGTAAAATTTTTACATAATATTTATAATTATACTTATTATTAACCACCTTCCTTCGGTTGCCAATTGGCCTTTTCAGTGGCTCGCAAGTAAGGCAAAAAATGCATGCTGGCCTATATTGGCTACGCGAGACATTGGCATCACTTTTATAATCTGTCAAATGTTTTAGTTTCACAAATAGCAAATCTTGCATATGTGCATATAAATCAAGTAAACTATATTTTTATAAAAATATAAAATTAAAATGAACACGGAATTAAAAGGAATGTTAAGAATATTGGAAAGTTAAAAATAAAACACTGAAATAAGTAAATTTTTGTAGATACTCTCGACACTGGGAGAAAAAAGGAAGTTGTTTCAGGGATTTTTCAGATATTGTATATGTAGCAACAGTTTCTTTTGAAGATTCGAGCAATAGTGAAGAAGAGCAGGAAAAATGTAAAAACTTTGAAGCAACTATAGAATCCCTGAGCACAATAGGTTTTAAAAATCACTTCAAATTACGATGAAATGCAACGGAAGACCTTATCTGTAAATATATGTTGAGTTGTCTGTGATTAAATTATAAATTTAATATACAGCGGCTCTCAACTTATTTCACACAACAATGTTTTAAATTTTTAAAACACTGTAACTTAAAAATGAATTAGAAAACAATTAAGTTTTTAATGTAAGTGATGAAAGGCACGCTTATGGAACATAATAAATAAAACAAAGTACATAAAATTTGTTTTTGTTTCGTTCAAAGTGGAAAAATCTTATCGCTTAACAGAATTATAGTTCGCAATTTATTTCATCCAAATTATTTTTTGCACTCAGTTGCCAGTATGTCGCACTATGCAACGCAACCAAATGTCATAATTGTTTTGTGTGATTTTGGACGTGCAACGACAAAAAAATTATTTTTTAAAAAATGGGACGATGCATTACAATTGACCACAGAGAAATAGTGTTAACCCATTTTAAGGGCGGTCAACCTCAGCGGAAAGTTGTGAAATTCGTTCATTTGAGTCCCTCCACTGTACAAAGAATCAATAACCGCTTTGTTCGTGAGAAGTACACCAAATAAAATTTTCAACTCAACTGAAGAGCGATATATCGTTAGAAAAATCAAGTGGAATCCATTAAATGTACCTGATATAGTCAGAAAGGTACGGATAGAACTAGGCAAAACGTACAATGCGGAAACTGTCCGCCGCGTGCCTCTATACTCCCACTTTAATGGTCGAGAACCTAAAAACAAATCTTTCATAAGCAAACAAAAATCAGAGCAGTCAGCTTTCTTATGCTAAGCAGCATGCCCACAAAATATTAAACTGCTGGAACAACGTCATATTCTCAGACGAGTCTAAATTCCCTATTTCTAGCTTAGATGGCATGACTTACGTGTGGCAGAAACCTAATACTGAAAATTTAAAAGCTACAGTAAAGCATAGCAGTGGAAGTATTGTATTTGGGCCTGTATGCCAGCTGCCGGCGTTGGAAGCTGGGGTTTATTGATGGTAACATGGACAAAAAAACGTACCTCAACGTTTTTAAAAAAAATTTACTCCAAAGTGCCATGAAACTTGGAATTCCTGAAACATTTTCAAAACATAAGGCCGGGTTTGTACAGTCTTGGTTGATTTGTAACTGCCCACATCTGATGACACCGTTGGCGCAGAGCTTAGCCATGAATCTCATTGAGAATTTATGGTCAATATTGAAACCAAATATACAATATTGGCCATAAACAAAGAAAACTTAAAAAAGGCTATTTTACGGGAGTGGTTAAAAATTGCTCCAGAAACAACCCAAAAACTTGTAGGCTGAATGCCGAAAAGATTTGACAAATTGATAAAAGCGAAAGGGCATCATACATTAAGACCGAAAAGTTTTCGGAAATTCTCATTTAAAATTCGCGCGCTGTATATTTTTCGATATTTTAAGTTTATGTAGTTTGGCAGCAATTAAGGACAATTACTATGCCAAAAATGAGCGCGATCTGTCAGACAGTTCGTTTACGGCAGCTGTTGAAACCAGTTCCCCTCAGTAGTGCGTTGCGAAAAAAACAATGGAAAAAAATATTGAACAAAGAGTTTGCATCAAATTTTGTGTTTCGAACGAAATTTCGTGTGCAGAATCGTTGCGAATGCTAC